ATGGGTTCAATTCCACTGAGTTTCCTTCCAACAACAAAGCACTAGAAATCTCCTCAGTGTCTTTATGCAGCCTCAAAGTCCGATGATACTCATCTACTTCATCTTCCCGCAAGGTGAGAGGCTTACCTAAAACAAGATTAATAGTATCCCGATCAAATATCTCCTCTCTTCCATAAACCAAAGTATTCCAAGAAAATATCTTGTCGTCATCCGAAAGGGCATTAGCGTAGAACTCCCTTATGACCTCCACGTTATAGCTGCCACAAGGTGTGATTAACTTGTCCCACTTTTTGGTGTGAAGGAATGTTGCTACCGCCCGATAGGAACCTTGAGGGTTGATGTTAAACTTCTTCTCAGGCAAAATGCTCCTCTTCTCGAGAGCAACTTAATGTATAGCCTGGTTAGCTCCTTTGAACTGATTAGTATCAAATTGAATTGGTTGCAGACAGGATGTACTTCCAACCTTTCTTGTCTTGGAAGGAGTTGCCTTTGAACATGCCATCTACATATTCACCAAACAAAACCAGCACACCAAACACATGATACATTAGTAATAAAGAAATGCGCACAAAAATCAGAACAATAAATCTCAACACAACTCAAAAGTCAAACTTGCAGTCATGTTCGCCTTGAGTTCACCTAGCGAGACCTAGCAAACTTTCGCTCCAGGTTCGCCCAGTGAACCCTGCGAATTTTTAAAAATTTCAGGTTCTTTCTATTCAAAATAAATACAACAACAAATCAATTTTTTCCCTTACAATCAATGTTATTCATAGTATACAATGAGTATCAAGTAACAGCACCATCCAAGCCACATTTGTTCAAGCAAAGGTTCAAAGTTCATAAACTTCATTCAAACTAATTTCAATTTTAACCTAAGAAAGTTCAACTCTAAAAAATTCTTAAATTTCAATACCTAAACATGCAAAGTAATGTAAACCAATAAACAAGAACATGCAATAGATTTGCAAAGTCTAGAAGAAAGTTTCTAAAATTTTCTCACATTAACCATAACAATATTTTTCTAATAAGAACAAGGAATGGATAAAGAAATTTCAAACCTGAAATGTGTTGAAAAGAGAGAAGGGAATTGGCACAAAAACTTGGAAACAAGCTTCACATTGCACAAATATGATGGAGAGAGTAGAGAAATATGTTGGTGTGTTTTTGGAAATTAAAGAGACAAGAGGGAAAAGGGAAAGACAAAAAGGGCAATTGGGGAAAGTTTACCCCACAAAATCTGTAATCAGGGTCTTGGGCCCATGCAGTGTAGGCCCACCACATGATAAAACTTAAGTGATGTGGTAGAAAAACTATTATTTTTCTCTGTCTCGCTCAGTTCGCCTAGCGAACGTTCGCCTCAGGTTCACCTAGCGAACTCAAAGCGAATGTGACAGATTTTTGTTTTTTTTTCTTTTCAACTTATTCTACCTCAACACTTCTCATATTATATTACTCTACAAAAGCATTAAAGATGAAATGGTACTTACAATGTTGGGATGCCTCATAGCTAGCGCTTTGTTTAACATCGTTTGAGCTTGACGATTCGGAGGTTTGAAACCTCAAAATTAAAAGCGATTGGATTAGCTTTCGAAAGAACATACTCTACCACTAAAGTCTTAACCGTTATCATGACCTGATCTTACCCAACTTGCGTCTCAAGATTCCGAATTGCCGCATCCTACTTTTTTGAGTGGAGATAGACATTTGCATAAATTGGTTGAAAGTTTCCTCAATCTTAGATCCTCCTCATTCGTTTTGTTGCGGTTGGTTATAATTATGGTAAGGTTGATGGTTTGAAGAACTCGGCTCTTTCCTCCACCCTTGTTGGTAAACTTGACTATTACCTCTTGATTGGTAGCCTTGGTTATTGCTTTGATATGGTGGTCTTGGTTGATAGCCTTGATTTTAGTTTCCTACATAGCTAGCTTCTTTAACAACCAGTGGACAATAGCCGGTAGGATAATCATCTTTACACAATTCACAACTTGTTATTTGTTGAGCTTTGTTGGGAACTTCTTGCATCTCTTTGATTTGTTGTAGAATTTTTGACATTTGCTTTGTCAACAAATCCACTTGTTGCGAGAGTAAATTGTTTTGAGCAAGAATAACATCATTCGTTCCCAACTCGATAGTTCCAGGTTTTCTTTTTGGGGTACCACAATTATGTTGACCTTGATGATTATTTAGTGCCATCCTATCAATGATGGACACCACATCTTCCTAACTCTTTGACATTAGAGAACCACCCGCCGTAGCATCCAGAAGAGTTTTATGCACGAGTCGAAGTCTGTTACGGAAGATGTGAACTTGAGTCAAATCATCAAAACCATGGCCCTTGCACTTCCTCGGCATAGATTTGAATCTCTCCCAAGATTTGTTGAGAGATTAGCTTCCTCCTTGCGCAAACACCAATATTGAGGTCTTGGCCTCCATAAATCTCGATTGAGGGAAAAATATTTCTAGAAACTTCTCCTCTAACACATTCCAATCCGTCATCACCAGAGTAGAGTGGTCAAGTTACCATTCCTTTGCCTTCCCAACTAAGGAATGCGGGAATAGTCTCTTAAACAAGGATTCCCCTTCGATTTCTAGCGTTCCAGTTGCACCTGATATCTCATAGAACTTCGTGAAATGAGTAAACGGATCCTCATGGTCCATCCTCGCAAAGGTATTTGCATATAAAAAAGCAAGGATTCCTGTTTTCAAATCAGAATTCCTCCCATTGTGGGCGTTGCGCGCAAACTGAGCGTTGTGTCTTGGACTGTTAACACATGGGGTTGAAGCAGGAGATGGTGGTGGTGGATCAGTCATGTTTGGTGTTACTATGGGTGTAGATGAAGAAGCTTCTCCGTGCTCTCGTATTTCTTTGGCAATTTTCTTCCTCTGCCTATTTCTGCTATTGAGCCTCCGAGCGGTTCTTTCAATCTTAGGATAAAAAAGAAGTTGGTCCGAAGGTACACTCCCTCGCATAAACAAAATTTGCACACTAAACCAAACAACTTAAACAATACAAGAAATATAAACAGGGGTAAGATCACAATACAAAGATCTTAAAACCAATAAATTATTGCAATGCTTGCAATATCAAACAATCCCTGACAACGACGCCATTTTGTTAAACTGTAAATATAAGGGGTTTTGTTATCGTCTCCATAGGGATTGCAGATATTTTGATGCTTACCGTTCAAAATTTTACAGTTTCAAGATAAAAGGTTTCAAAGTTTTGTTCATAAAATTGTCACGTTTTTAGTAGCAAAGCTTAAAAATTCTAAAGAGTTCGATTAACAAAGTATATCAAAAGTAGTTTTCATCTACCCTAACTTATACGTATTCATTCAATCTTGCATGTGAAGTCAGATACGATTAATATAGTCGCAGATTCTCTCAACACCGTCTATCTCTAGAGCGGAGTCGTGAGAAATATTGTATTCATCGCTACACAATTTCTCCATATAACAACCAATATAGTAAGCTTTAAGTTCAACACATAGCAACTATCGATCATAGACCGATTTCTCCAATCTATAAATCGATAGATGAATATTTTAGGTCAAGTTTCACAAAATCTACGTCTAGAGTTTTACAAAACAAGAATGGATCATTAAGAACAAAAATATTCATCATATATTAATCATCACTTGTTCACATACAATGCCAATAAAAAAAATACATACAAGCTAATGGTAGACTACCTCTACCTTTGATACAAGAGAAATTAGCTACCCATAATTATGGTAGCTTGCTTTGTAAGTAATGGAAAAAGATGAATAAGCATCTACGTCAAAGAATCCAACTCGGATGTGAATCCAGCTTCTATTTGTAAAATACCACCTTTTGGTGAAGAAATGCTGAGAAATGAAGTTTTGGTATGAAAAATGGGTTATAATCCCCAAAAATTGTGAAAAGTACTTATATAATACTTTTGGAGTCTGTCAAGTTCACCCAGTGAACTACTTCTTTTCCTAACGAACACACTTTTAGGCACCTGAAGTGCCTCTGAAAAGTTAAATTGCGCCTGAGGAAAATTAGAAGTTCGCTGTGCGAGCAATTCTTCGCCCTACAAACTACCTCGCTATAAGTTCGCACAGAGAACTTATGGTCCTTTAGCTACTGTCTCAAATCTGGGATGGTTCGCTTGTCCTTCGCTGAGACCTCATCATAGCGAACATTCGCTACCAGTTCGCCCAACGAACTTAGTGCCTTTTTCTTATTGCCTCTAAATTTAGAGGGTTTGTTGGGGCTTCGCCATGAGTTTTCCCAGCGAATATTTGCTGCTACTCCTCGCCCAGCGAAATTGCTGAATCTCTTCTTTTCCTTTGGCTTTCTTGTCCAATTACTTGTGTCTTACACTTTGATGTTTTTATGCCTGATTTCTGTACAATAACACACAAATCAAAGCAACCAAAGGTATTTTCAACAATAGTCTTTATATTTACCTATTGAATGTCGGTATTTTCAATTGAAAGACTATATCAAATGAATTAATTGAGAATATCGACATTCAATATGCGGAGACATTTTTGAGATTTGTTGGACACTAAATGAGGTCTATTTTCATCATATTTGAGTATTGCGACTTCTTTTTAAGTTGAATTTATCGGTATTATTCTAACACTAGAAAATGTTTTTACCTATTGAATGTCCAACAAATCAAAGTAACCAAAGGTATTTTCAACAATAGTCTTTTAAAGCCAGTAAAATTCGACATATTTAATAGAGTTTAATATGAGACATTAATATTTATTTATGGTTGTCCATGTTTTAGTTAAGGTGGCCATATGTATATCACTGGTTCTCAACTTTTATATGATATTTCTACATGAATGAATCTTCCTTAATAAATAGACTTTTCTTACTTAGAAACAATCAAAATTTTAAACCATAAAATCGAAACAAATTTTATTCCACAACAGTAACATGTATACACACGTATATGTATATGTGCCAATTCAAACAATATTGAATTTATTCATCTTAGCTTAATATACAACTAAAGTTTACTCCCTAACAAACGGGTAAATTTCATATCGAACATTACAACTTCCACCAACAACTCTTCCTCCTTTTTTTCCATCACAACAATTTGGAATTTCACTAATTGCATCATCAAGACACTTCTTACAATCAACACTAGGAAGGTCTCTAGTGCATTGAGCTTGTCCATAAACTCTCTCTGATTCTCCAATCTTCAACTCTCCATTCGCATACATTTTCTTATCCATATAAGCCTCATAAGCAAGTAGGCTCAATAAGGCCTTAGTCACGTTGTTGAATTTGATTGGATCATTAACACTTTGTACATTCAACAAAGAGAACTTGTTTGAATTATCGATTTTGCCAAAGAAATCAATGTCCGAGTACTTGAACATGCAATTATCGTACCATATAATAGCACCCTTATTGTTGTTGGAAATAATAATTTATTTCCATTAAAGTTGTTCCAAAATGACAAAGTGGGTGTTATAATAAATGCTTAGTCCCACATTGGAAGAGGAGTAAAATTAAATAGCATTTATAAGGCACTTGGAACAATGTAATTTCCAAAAGAGCCAAAAAGGATAAAGTGCCACATAGTCACATGTGGTGGTGCCAAAACTTATGTCACTTGTCTCATACAAAACACCCCTCGCCGGTGTCGCCACCGGCTCCGGCTCCGGCTCCGGATCCGGGGGCGTGGGCGTGGGCGTGGGCGTAGAGGCGTCTTGTAGACGGCACTTGAGCACTTCGTTGCCTAGAGTTTGATTTTGAATTTGAATTTGAAATACATGACACTTGACGAAGTGGTGCATGATATTTTATGTGAACCATTGCAAATGCTCATTAGAGAGTGTGTTTATGAAGAATTACAAACTTCTGAAAAGACACATGCATGGCTATAAATATATGCTTCATAATTCGAAATCATTCACTCCAAATTCTGAAATCCTCTTCCATATAATTCCAACATTTTCCTTGCATTCGAAACTTCATCAGTCTTGTGCAGTTTCGAGAAAAAGGCTGACTTATCCTGGGTATTCAGGCCGTTCCAACTCTAAGACAATCTGAGAGTGTGCTTGAAATACTTTTAAGGAAAGTGATTTCGTTCACGATTCAGTCTGGATCCATTCGACATAGAAGGATTAACTAACAATCTTAAAAGTATTTGTATCATGGATTCCGACGCTGCTGTTTCAAGTATCAAAGTCATGAATCAGGATCTTGTCAAATTGGATCGCTTCGGTGGAAACAACTTTACCAGATGGCAAGACAAGATGACGTTCCTACTTACTGCACTCAAGGTTCACTACGTCTTGGATCCCAATCTGACACCAATTCCAGAACCAACTGCAGATGATTCTGACGAACTCAAGAAGAAGCGCATGCTGCGAAGGGAGGACGAATTACTATGCCGTGGGCATATTCTGAACACGCTGTCTGACCGCCTATACGACCTATACACAGACAATCCGTCCGCTAGAGACATATGGAATTCACTAGAATTTAAATTCAAAGCCGAAGAAGAAGGTACGAAAAAGTTCTTAATTTCTAAATACTTTGATTTTAAATTTATAGATTCCAAGCCCATACTTCCTCAAGTGCACGAATTGCAAGTCCTGGTGAACAAAATCAAAGCGGTGAAAATAGACATTCCTGAAACCTTTCAAGTTGGTGCAATCATTGCGAAGTTACCAAGTTCGTGGAAAGGCTATAAAAAGAAACTGTTGCACAGTTCTGATGACTTTTCCTTGGAGAAAATCCAGAAGCATCTTCGAATCGAGGAGGAATCGAAGGAGAGGGAAAAATCAGAATCTACGGGTCTTTCCAAAGCCAATGCTGTGACCAGAAAGGAAAAGAAAAAACATGATGTCAAGAAAAGTCACATCGCACCAAAAAAGGAACATACCAAGTTCAAGAACTTCGGTGGTCCGAAGGGTCCGAAAAATGGATGCTTTGTATGTGGAAAACCTGGACATTATGCTCGAGATTGCAGGCATAATAAATCAAAAAAGGAGATCAATGCAGTAAATGCTAATGATGATATAATTGCTACTGTGAGCGAAATTATGGCAATCAAAGGCAAAGTCCAAGGCTGGTGGTATGATACATGTGCCACGGTTCATGTCTCATATGACAGGGCTGCATTCAAAACATATTCTGAGGCAAATGATGGACAAGAAGTACAAATGGGAAATGAAGTGCGATCCAAAGTTGTTGGAACCGGAACGGTCGAACTCAACTTCACTTCTGGAAAGAAAGTTACTCTTGTTAATGTGCTTCATGTTCCAGACATGAATAGGAATCTTGTTAGTGGGGATTTATTGGGAAAACCGGGTATTAAATCTGTGTATGAATCGGGCAAACTTATTTTGACCCGTAATGGTGTGTTTGTTGGAAAAGGATATTCCGCTGAAGGAATGATCAAACTATGTATTACTGATAACATGATTAATGAAATTTCTAATTCTGCTTACATGCTTGATTCAGTTACTTTATGGCACAATAGATTAGCACATATTGGTATTAGTTCAATGAAGAGACTAATTAAACTTGGCTTGATATCATGTAATATCAAAGATTTCAATAAATGTGAATTATGTGTTAAATCAAAAATGATTAAGAAACCTTTCAAAAGTGTTGAAAGAAATACAAATCTGCTTGATCTTGTGCATTCAGATTTGTGCGAATTTAATGGCATGTTGACCCGTGGGGGAAATAGATATTTCATTACATTTATTGACGATTGTTCTAGATACACTTATGTATATCTCTTAAAGCATAAAGATGAGGCTTTTAATGCCTTTAAGAGTTACAAAGCAGAAGTGGAAAATCAATTAAGTAGAAGTATAAAAGTCCTTAGGAGTGATAGGGGCGGTGAATACTTTTCTACTGAATTTGATGCATTTTGTGAAGAACATGGTATAATACATGAATGTTCGGCACCTAGAACACCACAACAAAATGGCATAGCAGAAAGAAAGAATCGAACATATCAAGAAATGATGAACGCCATGTTATTGCATTCCGAACTACCTTTCAATTTGTGGGGCGAAGCATTATTATCCGCTTGTCACATAATAAATAGAATTCCCTTAAAGAAAAGTGGAATTTCTCCATATGAGGTATGGAAGGGCATGACACCAAATATTGGCTATTTTAAGGTGTGGGGGTGTGTGGCATATTACAAAAACATGGATCCTAAGAGAACCAAGTTGGGTCCTCGAGGGATAAGATGTGCATTTGTAGGATATGCACAAAATAGCAAAGCATATAGACTGTTAAATTTAGAGTCTAATATTATTGTTGAATCCCGGGATGTAGAATTCTTTGAAAACCTTATAACTAAGGATAAAGAATCAGAGTCGGCCATAAATAAAGAATCTTGTGAAAAAGACTCTTCTCGGATTGTAGAAATACAACCTGAAGACACATCTCGAATAAATGAACCACGGCCTGAACCTAGGATAAGCAAAAGAGTCCGGAAAATAAAGAACCTAGGACCAGACGAAATTGATTCTCAATCCATTTCATTTTATCTGGTTGAAGGAAATAATACAAATTTTATTAAAAGCATTCCGGTAATTCTTCAAGTAGGGGAAGATCCTAAAACTTATAAGGAAGCAATAGCTTCAAGAGACTCCTCTTTTTGGAAAGATGCTATCCGAGATGAAATGGATTCAATTATGTCCAACCACACTTGGGAACTTGTTGATTTACCAAAGGGATCAAGACCCATTGGATGCAAGTGGGTGTTTAAAAAGAAATATCATAGTGATGGTACATTAAACACTTATAAAGCAAGATTAGTGGCAAAAGGATTTAGACAAAAGGAAGGTATAGATTATTTTGACACTTATGCACCCGTAGCAAGAACAACCACTATAAGGTTGTTATTTGCTTTAGCATCTTTAAATGATCTGATTGTTCATCAAATGGATGTTAAAACAGCATTCCTAAACGGAGACCTCGATGAGGAAATCTACATGGAACAACCAGAAGGACACGTCCTTCCTGGAAATGAACAGAAGGTGTGCAAACTTGTCAAATCTCTATATGGCTTAAAACAAGCACCAAAACAATGGCATCAAAAGTTTGACTCTACGATAATGTCAAATGGATTTATTCCTAATTCTTGTGACAAGTGTTTATATACAAAAGTGTATAATAACACTGTAATATTTTTGTGTCTTTATGTTGATGACATGCTAATAATTAGCAATAGACTTAATGGAATTCTAGAAACAAAAAGGTTTCTAACTTCCACTTTCAAGATGAAAGATCTTGGGCTTGTTGACACAATTTTAGGAATAAAAGTTAAGCAAAATAGTGGGGGTTATGAACTTAATCAAACACATTATATTGAGAAAATGCTTGATAAGTTCAAACACCTGAAATTCAAGGAAGTAACTACTCCATTTGATCATGTAATCAAACTTGAAAAGAATGATGGAAGAGCAGTGGCTCAATTAGAATATGCAAGTGCGATCGGATGTCTTATGTACTTAATGCAATGTACTAGACCCGATATATCATTTGCAGTTAGTAAAATGAGTAGATTTACTAGTAATCCAAGTAATGAACATTGGAAGGCAATCACGAGGATATTTGGTTATTTGTTGAAAACCAAAGATCTTGGCCTTCATTATGGCAGGTTTCCTGCTATATTAGAAGGATATACCGATGCCAGTTGGATCTCTGACGTGGGAAATCACAAATCTACAACTGGGTGGATATTTACACTAGCTGGAGGAGCAATTTCTTGGAAGAGCAAGAAACAAACATGCATTACTCTTTCGACCATGGAATCAGAATTCGTGGCTCTCGCTTCCGCTAGTCAAGAGGCAGAGTGGTTGAGGGATCTTCTTTTGGAAGTTCCATTGGCTAAAGACAATGTTTCAAAGGTAATGATACACTGCGATAGTCAGGCCACTCTAGCAAGAGCATTTAGCGAAGTGTATAATGGAAAGTCCAGGCATATAGGACTTAGACATTCGTTCGTAAGAAAACTGATTAAGGATGGAATCATTTCACTTACGTATATACGAACAAGCTATAATTTGGCTGATCCGTTTACTAAGCCACTGGCCAGAGACTTAGTAAGAACAACCTCGAGAGGTATGGGGTTGAAACTCCCTGAGTAAGAGTTCCGACAATGGCGGCAACCCAATCTTAAGTTAACAGAACATTAACGTTAAGATTTTCAATGGGTAACAACAAGTCGTTGATTTGGATAATTGTCTAACGTTTCATAATTATGTTGACATTAGAAATGAGGGTTGAGTTTTATCTTAAACTCTTAATGAAGTTCAATACCGAGGGTACGTATCTATTGGAAACAGATACTATATGAACTTCACCTATGTGAATTATGAGATGGTGCCGTCTCAAAGTG